CAGCTAGAAGCCAGCTCACAGGAACCCCACAGTACGTACGCATATGAATGAAATCATTTGGCGTTTGTCTTTCTCCATCTGATGTCTTTCATTGAGCATAATACCCTCTAGGCCCACCCATGTTGTTGCAAATGACATGGTTTCATCTTTTTATAGCTGATTAGAATTCCATTGTGTAATCCACCATATCTTTTTTATTTAATTACTAGTCAGTGTGTACCTCAGCTCTTTCCAGCTCTGGGCTATGAGAACAGTGCTGTGATGAACAGGGGTGCACATATCTTTTCTCCAACTAGTTTTTTTGTTTTCTTCAGGTAGATACCTGAAAAGAGATAACCAGACTAAATGGAAGTTTTACTTTTTGTGGGGGGGGGGGGGTGTGGCACTCAAAGTTGCTTTTTAAAAAATTTCTAAAGCAGCCTTCCCTGGTGGCGCAGTGGGTTAAAGCACAGCACTAAGAAACTAAAGCTACTACAACATGAGTTCGATCCCCGCCTGCCCCGGAGGTGACCACATGGTGTGGCAGACCTCTCCTGACCCGCCAGCTGCTCCTCTCAGCAGTGTACTTCAATGATCTGCCTGTTCTGCTCCCCACTCTGTCTGTGGTGAAGCCTCTCACCACCCCTGCACCTCTGGCCTGTACCCCAGTTCTGTTATGCACAAATAAATAAATCTTAAAAAAAAAAATTTCTAAAGATCTTGAGATTGTGAAGAACCAGGAATGGCAAGAGAGTGCCAAGCCCCAGACAAGCCCTCGTGTGGAAGCAGAACTGCTAAATGACTTTGGAGCTCCTGAGCAGAGCTGGGGAAGGAGGTTCCCACTAGTTCTCCTCCCTTCTGTGTTAGCAATACCTGGAAACTTCAGAACACGAGGATGGCAACGCTCCCGGAGCACCAGATAAAGACTGGTGGAAGTAGCAGCAGTCTCACTACTAGTAGTAATGGTATTAGCATTGGTAAAATAATTTGTAAGATATGAACAGCACTATTAGTATTTAAGAAACTTTTCTTTTTGTATCAAGCACTTTGAGTCCTATCAAAGCATTAACTTTTTAAATCCTCAGGACAGTTACAGGGGATGCATAGTAGTATCATTACCATAACTTAAAAGTGACAAAGAGGAGGCTTAAGGAGGGACAGTAACGTGTCCAAGATTAAATGACTAAGAGCTGTGGAGGGCCTTCCCTGGTGGCACGATGGGTTAGGGCGCAGCACTGCAAGCTAGCGTAGAGGCTTCAGTGCGAGTTCAATCCCCGGCCCTGGAGGTGACCCACAGATTTCTTCTGTCTCGTCCCCTGCCCCCCTCAGCAGTGTACTTCATTGATCTGTCTGTTCTGCTCCCCATTCTGTCTCTGGTGAAACCTCTCACCACTGCTGCACCTCTGGCCTGTACCCCAGTTCTGTATGCATAAATAAATAAAAAGCAAAAACCAAAAAACAAAAAGAGCTAGTGGAGCCATGATGCAACTGGATCTTCGAGGCTGGATTCTTAATCATCATGCTATATTGTTTTCCACCGGCCTGAAGCAGTCATGTAGCATTTGATCTGCAAGGATCTTTGCTATAACCTGGACTAGCAATTTTTAACACAGTCCCTTGATGAAAGTTCCTATTCTAAGGGAATTTCTCCTCCTAGACAGATGAGAAAAAGATGAGAAAAATCGAGTCTCTGAACTCTCCTGCACTGCTGGTGGGAATGCAAATGAGTACAACCACTATGGAAAACCGTTTGGAGGTTCCTCAAACTGCTAAACATGGAGCTTTAATATGACCCAGCAATCCCACTCCAGTGATCCCTACCCAAAAGACACAAAAGCACTGATTCAAAAAGACACCTGCACCCCATGTTTATTGTTGCTTTATTTATAATTGGAAAGACATGGAAGCAGCCCAAATGCCCAAAAGTAGATGACTGGGTTAAAAAGATGTGGTACACATACACAATGGAATATTACTCAGCAACCAAAAAAATAAACACATGCCTTTTGCAGCATGGATGGAGCTGGAAAAGATCATGCTTAGTGAAATAAGCCAGAATGAAAAGGAAAAATACCAGATGGTTTCACTCATAGCAGGAGTATAGTGAACCAGGCGAGAAAATAATAACAGTATTGAACAGCTATAGACCAGAGACATTTTATGGGGGTAGAGTGAGGAATGGGGTCAAAAACAGTGGGGGGAAGGAAATACACCAGACTATGGTGATGGCACATGGGTGATCTGGTGATGGGAAGCCCACAGGGATTATAACTGAGATGAAAAAAAAAAAAAAGCACAAAATGATGTAAAAATAAGCTATTATATTATTAAAAAAAACAAGTCTCTGAGTAAGAGAATCACACCACTGATGGATAGTGGTGTCAGTGCTGTGTTCTCCTAACTTCTACTAAGTCCTCTTTGTATTCTACTTCATCTTATTTTAAGAGCTTGGATTCTTGGTTAGGGAATCTTGGGTAAAAGTGATTGGACTTAAAATTGGAGCTTCCCAAGAAGTCAGAGGCAAGCATTAAGCAAGATAATGCACATAAAATGCTTGGTGTGGTTTAGTGCAAGGGTCAGGGCTCAGTGGTCATCAATACCTTTGAGAAAGTCCCCATGGCAGTTTCTGTACTCAGCACTGAGAACAGCAAGGCTATGATTATGGACAGAGAAGACTGGCACACAGGAGGGAAAGGGCTCTTCTCCTTGGGTCTGCCATCTTGATTGGCAAGCCACAGCCTTGCCAAGCCCCATCCAGTGCAGTGAAAGTAATGGTGGGAAACCTTGTAACCCACCCTTAAATCTTCTGGGTGTAGGAAAACCATTTTTGTCCTAAATAAGTGACTACGGTTGTCTTTGGTTGTCTGAGTTTCCTTTTAATTATAGACCCTCAAACACCCCAACACACAAGGCCTTTGTAAACTTGAACTCTCTCTCACACAGTTGTCCCTGAAAATGTATATTTTCCCTTTCATTTACAGAGCATAAATACTCATACTCATGCACATAATGAACTTCAGCCTCATGCCTGTCGGTTGGCGAGGGCTCCAAGACTATTATAGCACCTGAGCCCATGATCTCCCGGGAGCCCTCGGGTATCCTTTATGGAGAGAAGATGCTGGGCAAAACATACTCTCCTCCCATGAACGTGTCCCAGAGAGCTTGTTACAGCAAAAATAGTTGTTTACTTGGGCAGCCGTGTTCCTAAGAAAATTCTCAAACTCTTCCACACCATTTCATCTTTAGAACCACTGTGTATTTCCCTCTTCTCCCCTCCCTTCTTGCAGACTCAACCCAAAGTCTTTGGATTTGTAAACACTTTCTGGGTATCAAGAGAGACCAGGAAGGCTCTTCTTACTCTACTTGCCTTTCTATCTTGGTGGAAGAAAGATGTGGAGTTGATGGAGAGAGACTTGTAGGAAGCAGGGTACCTCCCACATTCTTCTGAGCTGGATGGGACCTCATGACTTGATGGTGGGGTGCTCATCCTCGCACAGCCTGTCACCACCGCACCCTGCGAGATGAACTCACGGAGGTGGTGCCTCTGCTTCTACTGTCTGCAGTCACTTGGCCTCCTGTTACCCCACCCCCTCATCTTGCAACAGCACAATTCCTTTCTCACATCTCACCCAGTGCAACTTTTTAATTTTTTTTTTAAACAGGGGTGCCCCTCTTCTTCCAAGTCCAAATGACATTTGGCCATTTCAGTGGTGTAAATACTCTGAGCACCACCCACCTATTCCAAATTCTCAGGTGATGTCCCTGAAGGAGGACATGCAGAGGATGAGGGCATGCGGAGAGGAGGGGCACATGTAGCTGGGGGGGACACGAAGAAGAGCACCCCAATAAGTAATTCCATCAGACTTCTACTTCCCTCTGCTCTCTTTTCTGGAAACTGAACACACAGTGGGTTCTGTGGGTTTCTGGGGGTGGGGGAGGGTGAAGGCTGGTGGTTCTGGAGGCTCAAGAGCCTCAAATAATTAGGGAGAGATGGGGTTTACTTGAAAACATAACTTACACATTTATACACTTTAACTTTGCATAATGGTTGTTTAACAGCTGAATGGCAAAATTCCTGAAAATTGAACAATCTGCACCAGTCTCTGGAGCTGCCCTCAGTTTCCAGGGCAGACCGAGGGGAGCCTGACTCCCAGAAGGGCTGTCAGTGTCCCGGGGAAGTTGCCCTTTTGGCAACAGAGTATTTCCAAGGTAAGTCTTGGTTCTGTGCGTTTAGCCGCCACTGTGGTGAAGAAACGCCGAGGTTGCAATAGGCGGGACCAGGTGGGCCTGGGAGGGGAGGGGCAAGCGGTGCGTGCATCCCCAATTCCCGACTCCAGCTGTCTTGAAGTGAAGGCTTGGACCGCCTGGACTGAGGCGGCTGATGTGAGTGTAAGGCAGGGGAGTGAGGAAGGGGGCGCACCGAGGCACCGCGGAGGGGTAAAACAAGAACCGAGACTCCAGTGCTGGTTTCCCCCGACAGCCTACGCCTCCTGCCTCAGCTCACGCCACTCCCTCCCAGCTAAGTGGCTTAGCTCTGGAGGCGGGACCTCGGTGCCCCCCCCCGCCACCCCTCCCCCCCACCCCAGGCTTGAGGCTGCAAGCTTTGGGAGGCAGAGAGGAAGGAGAAGGAGGGGCGCTAACTGGGCAGTCCAAAGAGGAGGGGGCCTTTAATAGGCTCGCCCATCGCCTGCTTTGCGGCGCTGCAGTGGCGGAGGTTGGGAGAAGCGGCGGGCATCTCCCTCTAGTTCTCGGCTGCAAATCCTTGCACTTGACAGTGATTGTACTTAAGCTGCCAGGGCGCGCTTTACTTGGAAAGGCACAGGTAGGAGGCGCGGGCTGCCCGTTGCACGCTCACTGCTCTCAGAGGAGTCTCTCTTCCTGGGCTCTCCTTTCTGAGTGCTGCGGGCTTTTCTCCAAGCGTTTTGTGGTTTCAGTGTGCTGGCTGCAAAGGAGAACGTGCCGGCAACCGGTGGAGCCCGGCTGAGCCCTGGTGAGAGGGCCGCTGTGCGCGGCCCGGCGCCATGCTCCTGCTGGGTATCTTAACCCTGGCTCTTGGCTGGAGACCCGCCGGCGGGTCCGAGCCAGAACGGGAGGTAGTGGTCCCCATCCGACTGGACCATGACATCAACGGCCGCCACTATTACCAGCGGGGTCCTAAGGACTCCGGGGATCAAGGGCTTATTTTTCAGATCACAGCGTTTCAGGAGGACTTTTACCTACACCTGATGCCGGATGCTCAGTTCCTGGCGCCAGCCTTTGCTACCGAGCATCTGGGCGTCCCCCTCCAGGAGCTCACTCGGAGCTCCCCAGACTTGCGACGTTGCTTTTACTCCGGGGACGTGAACGCCGAGCCGGACTCGTTCGCCGCGGTGAGCCTGTGCGGGGGGCTGCGCGGAGCCTTCGGCTACCGCGGAGCGGAGTATGTCATTAGTCCGCTCCCCAACGCTAGCGTGCCGGAGGCGCAGCGCAACAGCCTGGGTGCACACCTCCTCCAGCGCAAGGGCGTCCCCGGCGGGCCTGCCGGAGATCCCACCTCTCGCTGCGGGGTGGCCTCAGGCTGGAACCCCGCCATCCTGCGGGCTCTAGACCCGTACAAGCCTCGGTGGACCGGCTTAGGGGAGAGCCGCAGTTGGCGCAGGTCCGGGCGCGCCAAACGGTTCGTGTCTATTCCACGCTACGTGGAGACGCTGGTGGTGGCGGACGAGTCGATGGTCAAATTCCACGGCGCGGACTTGGAGCATTATCTGCTGACGCTGCTGGCCACCGCGGCGCGACTCTACCGCCATCCCAGCATCCTCAACCCCATCAGCATCGTGGTGGTCAAGGTAATGCTTCTCGGAGACCGCGACACAGGGCCCAAGGTCACCGGCAACGCTGCCTTGACGCTGCGCAACTTCTGCGCCTGGCAGAAGAAGCTCAATAAAGTGAGTGACAAACACCCCGAATACTGGGACACAGCCATCCTCTTCACCAGGCAGGTGAGTTCATCTGTCACCTCTGCGGACTCACACAGCTGCATTTTCTTAGGGTTATCACCGGGTAGCTCTCCAAATCTCCTTTGTGCAGTGTCCCTGAGTCTGAATTGTGACTCCCAATTTGGATCTTTCGGAGACAGCCCTCTCTTAGCCTCAGCGGAGCTCGGGTGCACCGGCCTCTGTGTACACGTGGGCGGTCAGAGTGTGTGCTCTTTGGGAAGGTGTTGGCCTGGCGTGGCCAATCAGCCAGCTCCTAGAGCAGGCGCGGAGGGGCAGGAACCCAGGAAGTTGCCGCCCAGGACCCGCAGTTTGTCTCCAAGGTAGATAGGAGGCGCTCTGAGGATGGTGTTGGAGAGGGCGGGAAATGTCCGCCTCATTGCCGGCGGCGTCTTAATTCTTCCGGACATCTCTTCCGAGGCTTCCTTTCTTTGTAGAACTGGAAAGTGATCTAGCTATCTCAGTTCAGTACATGGCTGCACTTAGACCGGACAACACGGTTGTGTTCTTCACTCTGACCTGGGCCTGGAAAACTGGATTAGGGTAGAGGGAGTTATCAGTGAGTTTGACTGCAAGGGCAACTCACTCAGGGCATTCGTCCCCTCCTTCTTTGGCTGATTTCTCGCTCGCCCTTCTGTCCTGGGATGGCCTTTATTTTAGACGCCTCCAATTCATTTAGGTAGTCTAGTTAGGCCACCTGTTTGGAGCTTGGCTTTTACTTGCATCTGAGCTGGGAACTTCTCTTTCAGTTTTCCTAGTCCTGGTTGAGGGAGGGTGAGGAATTTTCTCAGATGTGTTCACCTGAGCAGAGTAGCCAGGATTGCTCATGACTGAAACTTCTACCAATGACCGCACTCGACCACAGGGCTCCAGTTTTTGCCCTGAGTGCCTGGAAGTGGCGCCACCTTCGTAAAGAGCATCTGCAGAGCCCAGCCGCAGGGTTGGGAGCTGAGTATTGGGGGTTAGAAAGGCGCCCAGAAAAAAGAAAAAAAAGCAGATAGAATCAGCTTTACTTTTTGCAGGTCTTCAACTGATAGCTTGTCTCAAATAAGCCACAGATGCATGAAAATGTAGGAGCATAGAGTGAGAACAATCATACTTTTGGATTCTTACAATTTCTCAGATCAGAAGACCGGGAGCAGAGAGCATTCCAGTGACCCGCTTCCTCTGATTTTGGAGACGACAGCTTAAATCTGTGCCATGCTCCTATTTTGTTATTGCCATATCATGGCATTCGGGGCTGGCACGGAATCCTTGGTTACCTATGGGAGTCTAACGCTCCACTGCTTCCAAATGGCTTCTCAGAGTTGGAGGGAAGCGCATAGGCTGGAACTGGAGTCTTTCACACTAACCCATTTGGCTCAGCTAGTCCCTTCCTGGAGTTGAACATCCTCCTTTCCCAGCCTTCTCCTCCCACCACCTGGTTTCTCTAGGGAGGTCTTTGGCTTGAGTCTGCTTCCTTGTGCTCATTCTTCCAACTGAGGTCTGCAGAACTGCCACTGCCCAGCCCCTACAAGCACGGTCTGAGTCATAGGGAAACTGCAAAGGAGGCAGCTTCAATATCTGCACACAGACCAACTCAGCCGTCAGATTGCTGGTGGGGGGAAGCAAAGGCCAAGAACAGGATATCTTAATGGGGACAGCAGCTGTTGCTCTGTCCACTACCTGGCATGACCCTGCAGGGGTCACTCACTGGCGCTAAACAGTCCTCAGTCTTTGTTGCCTGGTGGCTGGATTGTCTTTCGGAACCCATCCTAGGAAGAGGACTCCTGCTCTTCTGATGGACCATGCCATCAGAAGACCCGCCTTTTGAAGAAAAAGCAATCAAACAGCGTGACAGCTTCTGCTTGTCAGTGGTGTGCGCTAGACCCAGGCTCTGTTGACTGTGTCTAAGGGGTACCAGATGTTTTTAGCACTTGGGTCAGAAGCAGTGGTGTGCAAGATGTGACTTTAGAAGCTGTCTATCCCTTAGGCATCTAGAGGGCCAACTCAGAGAGTGGGGAGGCTGTTTTGGCAGGTTTATCACCCAGGTATGTGCTTTATTCTTTAGCATAAACATCTCTCTCCCACCTTCTTGCCAGCGCAGACTTCAGGGGCTTTTGCATTCTTAGAGCCTTACAAACTGCTCATTCCTGAAATCCTTGGGGAAGGTACTGTATTCGATGAGAACACAAGTGCACAGCTGCTCTTTCTAGACTAAGGCAGATGCGATCTCCGGGAACCTGCAGCAGGGGTTGATTGCTTTATTGCAACACAAGAGGGATTTTTATTTTATTTTGTAAGGGTCAGTAGTAATCCTTTCAACCAGATGTATGAGCTATTCTGCTTAACCTGGCTTAGTATAATGTTAGTATAAGCATTGTTTTTTCACATTACAATTTGAATACATATATATTATATATGATATATATGATTTTTTTGATAAGAAGGTTTTAGTAATGTATTTTTAAATATTTATTTATTTATGCATACAGAACTGGGGTACAGGCCAGAGGTGCAGGGTTGGTGAGAAGTTTCACCAGAGATAGAGTGGGGAGCAGAACAGGCCAGCTGACAAAGTACACTGCGGAGGGGAGCAGGGGGCGAGACAGGAAGGATCTGCTGTGCCAAGTGGGTCACCCCCCTGGCCGGGATCGAACTTGTGCTGGAGCAGCTGTGGCTTGCTTCATGGTGCTACACTTTAACCTGTCGTGCCACCAGGGAGGGCCCTGATCATCCTCTTCTGATCATGGTTTTCACTGGAGGTGCAGTGGAGAAGCTCAGACTGTATTTCCTCCTGTGAAAGAGGCGAGGGCTGTGCCCGCAGAACCCCAGGTAGCAGGGGTACCAGGAAGGGGAGCAGTGTGAGTGAGGTGACCGGCAGGCCGAAGCTCCCTCTTTCTTGGACAAGCAGACTCACTGTGCATGAAGACAATCTGGGCTGGGCTGTGGGGTGACACTGCTGTCCTCTTGGCAGACAGAGGGAGGGGTGTGGGGGTTTGAAATCAAAACACTGGACAGTCAAGACCTAGGGAGGATCCTTTACTGTCCACAAAGGAGAATAAGTGGGTCATACTGTAAGTATTTTGACAATTGGAAGCTTGCTTAGAGATTCAAAATAAGTTCATGTTCCTGGAGAAGGAGCACACATCTGATTTTGCAAAGTGATCAGCCTCCAGGCTCATAACAGCAGGGTGAGGTCAGAGGACTGGAACCAGAATCTGGGAAGAATCAGAGCCCTTTTTTTCTGGGCGAACATTTACTTCTAGGAGGAGCAAAGTTCCTATGGCTTCCTGTCTCCTTGGGCAGCAGGAGCCAGATATCTCAAACTGGGGCTCAGTAGGACTGAATTCCACACCCTCCCCACACCCCCATCTTCTCTCTCTTTAGATCCCATATTTCTGCTCTTTGGGTAACTTTGTGGTAGGCTAGAGTTCACTCATTTAGTCATGCATTCTTTTCATACTTATTGAGCATCTGTTATTCCCAGGTACTGTCCCTAGGCTGTGAAGATACAGACATTACTAAGATGGGGCCTAGGGACACCTATGAAGCCCCCAAGGATTAATGACAAGGTGGAGTGTTAAGTGCCCTGGGGGAAGCTTGGACACTCCTCTGTTGGAAGCTCAGTGGCAGGTCAGTTTTCTTAAGGCCAGAGCAGAGAAAGCTGCTTGGAGGGGTGGGAGCAAGAAAGGCAATGGGTGGGGGTGGGGGATGATGGGAGAGGATGTTTGTTGTCTACCTGTAGGGGGCTCTCTCCTCTGCCCCTCATCTGTCTTACTATCAGGACATCTCTTCCTTACGCTGACTGTGCTTTGGGAGTTGTAACTTGTGGCTTTTCTGCCTACTTACTTCTGTACTCATTTTGTCTGTCAGCTGAGTACCAGTCTATGGCTCTCTCTTGGCCCTACGCTCACCATTTTCTTCTTCACTCTCTCCTTCCTCCTTTGGGAAAGACTCTTTCTTGTCTTTCCCATCTCCTATTTTCTTCATTCATTCTTGACCTTTCCATGTCTCACAACCCCAAGCTTGTTGCTTTTGTTCCTATTTTGGTCTTGAGTAGAACTGTGTTTTCCAAAGGTGACATGCAGGTGTGTGTGTTCATTCTAGACCCTGTGTCCTGAAACAGCCTTCTGGAACCCCACCTGAAATAGAAGACAGTTCTTTCCATAATAAACTACTTTGCAATACAGCAGTGACATTTAGCATTTGGATTAAATAAATCAATAATAAGAAAATGATAATAAATATTTTATACATCTCTCCCAGTGCAATAAAAAAAGACTTACTCCCAATTTCATCAGGATCATTTCTGAAGGTATTAGCCAAGAGGAGCAATCTATAATTTTGTACTTAATAATTTGTAAACCCTTATACCTAAGTGGTGGTGACTTCAGCCCACTCCTTTTGGTAGGGAGGAGGCAATGGGAGAGAGGGGGAGAACAAAGCAGAATATGCTTCCTCTCTGGCTCATAGGATATTACTCTTCTCCCTCCTTGCTTACTTGTACTAATAGTGAATATTAATGATGGAGGATGGTGGTGGGGGCTGGGGGACTGGAGGGAGGAGTGTACTCTAGGGTGTTTTCCTTTCATTTTCAAACACTGGTTTAGTCAAGAAGGCAAAGGCCTTGCTCCTGTGTTTCTTTCGATCTTCTCTGTGTGGTTTCTGGATGCCATGTTTGAGCCTGGGCCTCATCATCTGGTGATGGCACAGGGAAGAACACAGGCCTGGGGTCAGGCAGAGCTGACTTTGAATGTTGGCATGTGTTCTTTCCTCATGGGGCACGGGGCATGGAATGAATCAGCTAGTTGAGCTTCCCTTTCCTCATCCTTAGAATAAGGGTGAGATGAGGACAGTGATACCTACCATACAGGGCTGTTTCAAGGATAAATTATGAAGTGTTCCAGAATGGGCACCCAACTGTGGCAGCTGTTGTCATCACTACCTTGGTAGACACTCAGTTAAGTTTGTGGTTGAATAATTACCTACAGGTTCCTTTCCAGAGCTTACATGTGGGATCGCCC